ATATTGTTTTTATCCTTCTCATTTTTTTTCATTGATAATTATTTATCATTGAATTAAAAAATAAGGACATGTGGTACATTCAAAACGTATTGCTGTGAAAGCAATTTCTGGCTTTTTATAGTTTATTTTTAAAACTACGCCATTTACAGAAAAAGAAAATTTTTTTAGTATAAATAATTACAACTTTAAGTAATTTTGGAAATATTCTATATTTATTTCCCCATGTGTTCAAAATCTGCAATAAAATATTTTAAATATATTGTAATTTCAAATAAAATTGTTAAGTAAGTTATTTTTGGTAGGAACACTCAACATATTTTTGAAAATGATAAGATAATACAATGTTTATCTTACACAGTTATTTGATCTTTAAAAAGGGTGGCATTTGTGTCTACCTTACACTTAACAGTCCATTTAATTTTATCACCAATACACATTTCCATCAAGTGACAGATTCCACAAAAACAATTTTTATACTTCTATTAAAACTTAAAAGCTATTAAACAATATATTTATTTAAAAAACAGTCAACCTGGAATCTGGGTAACTTCAAACTTAATGTAACTTCAAACATTCTGATTTTTTTTTGCAAATCGATAACATACATCCCCGAGAGCCGAGATTTAGGAATAAGTGAATGGTGAACCCTTCTCAGGTTAAAATATTCTTTGCTTATTTCGATACTAAATATTCTCATCCATCTCCGGGTATTTTATTTTAAAAAAAACTTTCATCAACATTTTAGCCATTTTATAATCACCAACAAAAGTGTTCTGGACCTATACTTTATATGAAGAATGAAGAATATTATAAGTTTTATACACAATTTTTTATGAATTTCTAACTTAAAATAATTTCCAAATTTTCGTCGTTTTTACGTATTTTGTCAATATTTGAACTTTAAATGCTTATAAAAAAAAACTGTGACTAAGGATTTTAAATTTTCAAGTTTTTTTAACCAACAAACAAAATTTTATTGATATTTATAGAAAAAAAAATTTAAAAAATTGAAAACTGACAATGTCCGTAAACAGTTCAAAAAGAGTCAAATTATTTTCAAAATTTTACCATGTATAGAAAATTCAAATATAAACAACCTGTGAACATTTCATGTATCTACGGCCATTTGTTTTAGAGTTACACCAAAAACCAAAATCGATTTTGCGTAAAAATTCCCGTTTTTCCTTAATTTTTCTTTTGTTTTTCACGTCGCTTTTGAAAATTACTGGGAAATTTTTACTTTTGATCCCCCAAAGTACTAACTAGATTCACTTTCCAATCAGAAAAGTTGCCGTTGAAGAAAATCGAAGCAGTTTTATTGTTCTAAAAGGTGATGACAGGCACAAAAAATAAATAAAAAAAAAACACACACATCATTGTAAAATCAATACATTCATCGTTCCACTCAGAATCTAAAATATATAGGTAACTAAGAATAATGATTTATATTATTTTGTTGTAATTTAAAAATATTATTACTTGAACCTTTTACAGTATATTATTATATTTGATACACACAATGATTTTTCAAATGTATTTTTTTTGGCAAAAATGAATTTTATCAAATGCGTAGTAGGTACTAATGCTTACTATTAAAATAAATTACTTCCATCACAATAATATCGTCAAATATACTACAATTACGATGTAATATTATAGACCGTCTTCTCTCAGAATCGTTTTTCGTATACAATGGTTTTATATCATTGAATTCAAATTCAACGTCATCCTTAACAGTGACCCACTTGTAACATACTGTGCAGCAGAGGGACATCCATTTCCCGCATTTTATAGTTAAGGATTGAAAATGTAAAACAAAAATTCTCATTAATAGTTCATTATAAACTGTAACTAATAAACCGTTATTTTTTACAGACATTTAAAATTTAAATTTGGATGAAATTACATGTTAAAGCCAAGAAAAATAACAATTTTAGTTATTTTGTTGTAACATACGAATATTATATTTTGACATTTTGCAGGTTTATGCAACTTTTAGAGTATATTATTATATTTTATATAAACAAAAACAATTTCAAATGTATTTTTTTTTTGTACTAATGGTTACCTATACTATTAAAATAAATTACTTCAATCACAATGACATCATAAAATATACAAGTCATATTATAGGCTGACAGACCGTCTTCGCTCAGAATCATTTTTCGTATACCATGATTTTGTGTCATTGAATTCAAATTTAACACATTAATTACACTATACAGCGTTTCCCGACCGGTGTGCCCCGGCGCAATGTCTATATGGTAAACTTCATTAAAAGTAAACTTTTGAAATCAAGGTTATTTAACTGCAGTTTGTGTTCTGCTATGGATAGTGAGCACACTCCCAGCTTTTGTTTTATACGCAGAAATAAGATGGCTATCTCGTGGACGTGTCCTACAGATTTTATGAACTTAGAGAGGAGAGGAGTTATTGTTGTTTTTGACTTGTGGTTGTGAAGAATCACAATACGCTGTGTTTCTCGGTGATGGCTCCTGGTGTGCCAAAGTAGCCTTTCTAGCAGATATATTTGGAAAACTTAATTACTTAAACAAGAGTGGAGGGCGGAGGACTGCTCGCAGAGTGGTAACCTAGAACGGTCAACGGGACGTCAAAGGCAGCTGACTCCGGTCGGCCCTTGAGGTCAGCTCATCAAAGATGAGAATTTAGGAAGATTTGATATATATTTATTTAATATATTATGTTTCTGGCCGAAATATAACATAATTTTTTTTTTTAATTATAAATGATGGCGGCTCTATTGACGTAATGCACAAGCAGTACCGGCAGCGTCGTCGATAATACCGAAAAAAAAGTTATTTTGAAAAGTATTTAAAATACGTATTTGAATAGATAGATATTCGTTAAAAAAACTATTTTAGATCAAATACAAATACTTGAAGAAAATATTGAAGCATACTTTTAAATACTTCATTCCACTAAATTTTTATAAGATATTTTACTTACCTTATATAAATCAATTGAACCAACTTTAAATTTTTTACATTAATTTTATAGAGTATTTTACACCATATAATTTGTTATAGCTATAAAATACTTATCTGGTTTTTTTGTTGAATTATTAATATAAAAAATATTAATATATAGTACCTATATACACACGTTGGTACATTTGTTCTCAATTTTTTTTATGTGATTAAAATTAAAATAGAAAATAATAAACTAAAAAGAATATAAGAATTTGATTTTAAATACAGATATTTTGAGTACTTAAAAAATATTTGAATACTTTTACTCAGGTAGGTACCTACTTTACAAGACTGCCTTATGGTTTTGGAAATCCGAGAAACTTATAATCCTGTATATAACACTTGAAAACAATTCAAACTATAACCTAATTACAAACAAATGTTCTACATTTTAGATGATGTTAACCACCTATCAAAATATGATCTTGAAAGTATGAAAAGAAGTATTGAGTACCGAATACAAAAAGAAGCAAAAATAACACAATTATTAATAGCTACTACTAATAGTACCGTAGACATAACAACTATATTGAATGAAGACACAATGATTGATTTACCAAAAACCAAATTAGAAGATTTTCTACATTTTGATAAACAGTTTAAAGTAGATATGGAGTTGATGAAAAAAATGGCGAGTAATATTTGAATCTGTACTGTTACATTTTAAGGCAGTTATTCCACAAATAATATCTAAGGAGATTCAATTAAAATATAGTGCTTTTGGGCGAGAAACCAATTGAATTAAAAAACGTAATTTGTTTGGGACAACAACATACAAATATTTACTAGGTACAAATAATAAAGATTAATTAGATAAAAATATTTACTCTTATTCTAGTAATTATTAATCTGGTTTAAAAATCTATACATATATATAATATTTCATTTGTGCTTAAAACAAGTATCCAGACATTGAGGCAAAAGAAATGTCCAATGATTTAAGTAGATGGTTTTCCGGTGCCAAAGATAGAGAAGGTGGAAAGAGAGAAAGAATTGTCAATAAAAGTATAAATAGTGTGACATGTGATTAACAATAAATAATTCATAATATCATATAGTTTTTAAATAATCTATAAAAGAACATTTTGTTTTAACAACAAATTATATTAGTCTATTAAATAAATATTTCCCAGATACGAAAAATGTGTATAATTGCTTCAACATCAATGTCAATATTATCTTAGTGTGTAGTAACAATAAGAGCTAGTCTATATTTTATTCTATTTATTCCATATCCTACATCAGGTTTAATGCAGTACTGTGTCTTCATTGAAAACGAGTACTGGGCAAGTACCCGAGTGCCGGTACCGGGCAAGTATTAGAAAACCAGTATTGGGAAAGTAGGTACCTACTGTAATACCAGTACTGAAAAGCGTCGAAAAACGTTTGATGTGCAATGATTTCGTTGACGTCAAGTTATACAGTTCTACAGAATTTTTAAGCTCTTGATAAATTATACAATAGATAGGTTTATTCGTTTTTGTTAGCAGTCAATGTACACATTAGAGAAAAAAAATAATTCATTTAAATTCTGTGTATAGTATATAACTGCATGATGCTCATATCAAAATACATTGTTTATAACTTTTATAAGCAGATAATTTAATTTGTTCTTTTTAGGTTTGATAATCATTCCTGGCTTTTTGTTTAATCGGGTGGGTTTTAGGCTAAAAATTGTATTTTTAAAGAAATAATTATTAATTCAGAATAATAGTTTAAATTTAAAAAGCCCTACTATCAATAAAACCCTGTTGTTGAAACCACCTGCGTAGTTAAAATTGGTCGAAATAATATTTTTTTTTGGACTGCATGGATTGGACATTTGACAAAAAAATACTAAGGTTAGGTTTGGAGAAAAAATAAATTGGACTATTACTATAAAATGTGACCTTTACTTAAAAGGACAAAATAGATTAGTTACAATAAATCGGAGATATTAATGAGTTGGTGAAATAGGAATGGGTTAATAACTTCAACAACTACAATGAGAGCAGATTATAACAATTTAAATATTACATTTTAAAATTTTGTTTTTATTTTTATAAACAGCCACTATACTTACGGCGGGGTACACCGGCTTATAATATTAGTAATTAATAATTATAATACTATATAAATCGTAATAATAATAATAATAACACGGGCGGTCTACCCGTCACGACATTTGTCAACACAATTAATATAATATATAGGAATACATTTTATTTTTTCGAAAGACTCGGCCGGCCGATCACTTGTCAAGAGGGTAGACCACGCACTACATCATTGCACTCGAGAACCTGACAATAATCAACAAAACAATAATTAACAATATATGCTTAAAATATAATATAGCACACGTCTCAGTATCTATACAAACACATTTAACATTATACATTTATACACAATAAGGTAAGTACTGCCGATCGGTCATCGGGTCATCACGTTATAGGTAACGATTCACAAAATCTCGTGTTAAAAATATAATATATTATTACAATTTACAAGAAACAGCGCGGTTCCTAACATATACCTATAATACGAGTATATATGCGGTCCTAATCATCTATCAGTCGTAATATACCTAACGTAATAATTTAAGAAAAAGAGAAAAATCTCGCAAAACGTCACAGCTATAATAATATATTATAATCATACCTATTATAGTATTATAACTATAGGTACATGCAATGTATAAAGATTGTCTTACGAAAAAAAGTTATACCTACAGCTACAGTAATACACAATATTGTATGTATCAAAATAATTTGTAAAGCGTTTTGTTACAAACAAAAAATATACCATTTACATTTATATGTTTAAATAATTTATATTGTGTACGATAAATCTGAGAGAATATAAGATTAGAGTAAAAATACTGACTTCGAAATGTCCGACCGTGGTCGAGCACGAAATATTTTTTATTATTAGAATACATTTAATTCTGTTTATTATAATAGGTATTATTATATAAACATGCTTTTTGTGCCTACGCGATTATTACAGTTATTACAGTCACGTACTCACGCGAATAGTTATATTCTAGATAGCAAACATTCGCACGAGGAATATGATTTTGGTGTGAATATTTACAGTTTCATACAATTTTCGAATATTACAATATTGTTAAAAAAACCAACAATGACGGGATTGGGCTTTAAAGTTATTCTACGAATATTAACTTTTGAACTATATCCTTTTTTTAGTTTCAGAGAGAAGATTTAAATAGTCTCCCTTGACAACACCCATTTATTCCAATGCAGAAGCGTCGATCCCACAGAGATTCCATTCGGGTGGTGGAGGGGGGAAGGGTAGGAGGGTAGGGTGTACATTTCAGCACCATTTTTTCTGCGCTTTATAATTGGCTTGCCTTACAATTTACAAACGCGCCAATGACCTATGCGTAAAAAGTAAAAAGTGAAAATATATTTCTTTAAAACCCTTCCTAACCTTCCAGATGATATTTTTTTTCTGTATGATAAAATTATATACTTAGTAGATACAAATTATATGATACTAAATGTCGTTATTAACAATAATAATCATATTGATTAAAATGCTTGAATATGAAATGTAAATTGATTACTATGCATACCTAATTATATTTGATTAAAGACACACGTTTTCATATTAAATCGTTTTTTTTTAAAAATTTTATCCCATCATTAGTTTAATCATTATACATAGAGTGAACTGTAATTGTAATGTCTACCTAAAGCATATGGATACTTATTTATTTTTAAAACCCTTGTCAACGTAAGTAATTATGTGTGTGAGTGGTTACGGTTAGTTAAGGAACACGGTTTATGTGGGATTAATTGATGTGTTTACGAAGATTCGTCTCTAAAACCCCGGGTGATCACCCATCTGAGAACTAGCGAAGTCGGGCATTAGTGACTGCGACCAACCACCATGCCACCAGACCCCCTAATATATATTTATATGAAAACCAAAATCCAGAAAGAAAAAGGAAAAAAAAAATTGAATTCATTTAAATATAAAATATACAACCCTACAACCCCAAACACGCTTCGCAGAATAAAATACATGTAGGCATCTATTTCTTACGGTGGAGGAAAAGTTGCCTAGTGACTAAAAAAAAATGTCCCTCTTATATTTTGTCATCGCTACATCTAAAACACTCAGATGTTTCCACTCCAGTTCACATTATTTTATAAATTAAGTGTATCACTGATCGGAGATATGTGTACCCCAACAGACCTCATACTCAATTTCACTTTCCACCTCTTGATCGGGTCTCAGGGTTCGATTGAAATTTTATTTGACCACCGTACGACAAAAGGTTTGTATTAGGTTTACAGATGACGGCGATGGAAACGAATTTAAAAGCCAGCTCAAAGTCGACGGAAGAGTTTGAACATTTATCAGTTTTGACATCTTAAGGCTGAAGCATTTCAATAATATTTTTTATTCTTTATTGAAAACATTAATAATAAGTACCTACTAGATTGATGTTTTCAAAGAAGATTGAATCAAGCATTTTTATTCAAATTTAAGCTTTTTGAAAAATATGTATATTTGAAAATATAAAAACGGTATTATGGTATAAACTTTACGAATAAATTTCGGCTGCCAAATTAAGATATACGTATATATTTTTATACTTATGTCACACGTATCGAAATGTTGATCATTACATTTTTCATTATAATAAATTATTACTATATTTACTATTAGGAATGATTATTATATATAATATATATCTACTCGAGATGTAAGCATATTATACACGAATAGAAATTATTTACCTATATTATTATTATTATTATTACTATCGTATTAAGAATACCCAAAAGCAAAAGAAAATGAATTAATAACCAATATCATTTTTGCTTCAGTTGGGAAGATGATTGCCTAATCACGACCTGTGAATGTTCGCTTCACAGCTAAATCCGAATGGTTATTATTGCCTATACATTTCAATTGTATACCTATAAGTATATAATATAACTATTTAATAGACATACCGACAATGAAAACGACGATATTCCGTCTGCGATGAGAGTAATTAATAGTAATAAAACTAATCATTTTACGACACAGAATCATCGTTATTGGTTACTCGATTTATACCTAATATTCTCACAATTAAAGACGTGTTTGCAGAAACCTCTTGGTAATTGTATAAGAAAAATAGTGTGTTGAAATGAAAAAAATATATTTATGTCCAACTGAACTGGATGTCTATTGGGGTTGTTTTCTTACAATGTACTGCTTTAAATTATGTACGTAGCAAATATATTTATTTACTTAATACGCCAACGATCAAATACATAAATAGGCAACATCACCTACCTACTTATATTTCTAATATTAAAGCAGTGTGTAGGCATTTGAATATGATTATATGTTGTCGTGTTATAAACTTGAACAATATAATATTATTTTTCATCGGTCGTATAGTCCCTACGTAAATCGATATTCTACAAAAAACATCTACAAACGATATTAAACTCAATAGTTTTTATAAATAATAGGAAAACGCACGTTTGCGTGGAAAATTGTTGATAAATAAAACCAAAATACCTATCTATTATTATTACAGCGCAGGTGGTCTGATAGAATGTTTACCGTCGTCGTTTTCGGTTTGAGTAAACGACGAACGGTCGTAAAATCCAGAATTTGACTCACGTCATTACCGAACAAATCAGTATTATTTACAAGACAATAGTTATATTCGAGAGACACTCGTATCGCAAGTCTGGAAAATATAATCATTCTGAAATAAATCACAAATCGCACGTTCGAAATACGAGCAATCAAATGTGTACCTAACCTCTTGGGTTAAAATAAATACCTATCTGATACATGTTGTACGAGTATTATGTACAATCGTATAAATTACTAGTGATTGTGTTAGAATGGAGTTACCTACAACAGAACGCGAAACGGACACGTGGCAATCGTATTCGGGTGGATTTTGTCGACTATTGTGCGACAACGGTCCAAGTCTAAGTGGTGCGCGTAGCTTTTTATAAATGTAAGAAAAAACCGACGATAAGCATATTTCGTACATTCAGACCACGAGAATACTTCAAACTATATTATATTACATATATACACGAACGTCGTCATATCTACATCTATAATATGACTCGTGTCGTTTCCGTCGACCTTAATGCGTATTTTTATGTTCCAAGACAACGTTATCGTTACTAATAGTCTTACTACTTCACTACTACTATAATAATAAATAAATAATGATAGTATTAATACTACTACTAATAATAATAATAATATAACAACATCAAAAATACGTCGGCCGGGCGCCAAATACTACGGCGTACTATTAACATAACATGTGGTTGCATTACAATGACATAATATCATCGCTGCAGCCTGCAGCCTGCCACAAGTGGTGTGTGATAGTGGATCATTTAGTATACAGGGTGTTTGGAGGGGGGGGTAAGGGCGAAGTTAGGTACGTCTCGTACGGGGACGATAATATCATAATATTATTATTATGGTGGCGCATGAGCGCCTGACGACTCCGTCGAGGAGTGGCTGCAGCGAATAGACGAAGAACGGACGACGGACGGTGCGGTAGGTCGTCGGCGTTTTTAGTCGCTCGTCAGGTCTTTGAGCTCCGTGTAGCCGCCACACATTTTCTTGCACAGGGCTCGGTCGGACGCGTAAAGCTGGTACCGCTTCTTGTACACGGCGAACCTGAAAGATATAGACAAAAATATAATATAATGTAATATTACACTCGTAATATATTATGTATTTTAAGATTATTATTATCATTTTATGTATAATATGCGTATCATGCACCGCACAGATTTTCTGATTATCCGCTTAGGTTTTGTCAACCAGTGAATTTGATTTTGTCACATTATTCCCTTTAGTATCGTCAATCATTGAATATAATTTTTAAATTTTTAAATTTTAAAATTTTAATTTATTTGACGAGTAGACCACCAATGGCTATTTTACTCCAAGCCCATTTTCAGTCGATATTTTTATAGCGTATGTAGGTAGTATGTACCTACATAAAATACTACGAACAAAAATTCAAATACACAAAAAGATAAAACCACCGCAGACAATCGTTAGCCATGGGATCTAAAGATAGTTACCATAAAATGACCAGGGATATATTATATATAGTAATATGGCTCGGATACGTCTGGTTATCTAGACGTCAGAGTTGGTATCCTATGTCTATCTTATACGGTTTGGGATTTTAAATAAGGTCCCTCGAATTTTCCGATGATAACTAAGGTTCAAAACTGATTATAGAAATTAGCCACATACATTTTAGTGAATAACAGTTATCAAAATACTTGGGAGTTTGAACAATAAACGTTTACTATAGGACATAGGTACACATGGATGACGAATGCTATGTTGTTTGAAAATCGAAACCAATACTGTCGCAGCGTGATATAGATAGAGCTATACGTATATAATAATGATATACATATATAATGTAAAGTGATAATTGAATCGACTTGAACGAACGCCACAAGAAAGTTCGATATTTTAGTCTCTCAAGTTATATCGAAAAGAAACACGTTCGTCAACAGATGGATGGTAATATTTAAATGTTTCTAAGTGAAGATTTTTTTCTCTGAGAATTACTCGAAAAAAAATTCCTATCGATTGATCGCGTTATTTAGGTTTCCCTCAAAACAACAATGTATATAATCGTTTAAGTCGTTTGAGCTCAAAAAATCAACTAGCGAGAATGCATGAAATGCTCAGCCATAACAAATCTTGGCGTGACTATCACCTTTTGTACCTAAGTATACTAATTAGTGCTGCAATATAGGATGTATTTTCATGACCCCTTTTGGCGATACAGTTTCGCCACAATTATTGGAGTGAACCTAAAATGTTTTGTTTTCGACAGGTCATGCGTCCTTGCGGGGTCGGTGGCGCTTAAAGCTGCAGGACGTAGTCGTCGTCCTGAAAGTAGTTTATAGACGGCTGTGATCGGTGTCGGGTAGTTTCTCCATATAACATTGTTTGACCCCCTCCCCCCACAGGTCACAGAGAAATCGCAGTAATATTAAATTGTTGGCAGTCTAGCACGCGGACCGTATACAAAACGCTCCGGTTTAATCACAGACTCCAGTCTGCTGTACCGATTGACGGCTACACAATAATTTGACGTCTACAACAATATAATTGTGTGAACGATTTATCTAGAGAGCCCATTAATATATAAGAAAGTGACCAACTGGTGAAATAGCAGCCATTAATCGTCTAGACGATTTTCGCGTTTTGTAAATTAAAAAAAAAGCATAAACAAGTATTTAATATAGTATAATATATAGTATATACAAACCAATGTATAAAATATTAAACAAATATGCTTACTGCAGCCCAGCAACTGAGATATTTATATACTTAAAAAGATATGCCGTATGGGGACTCAAACAGTTATATCTGGGTACCTATATCTTTGTTCATAATACATAACTGTAATTCAAAATATGAATACTGGTATTATATTATTATCATACAAAAAACGATGGGATTATTAAAATTAAATTATCGTGTAAAAACAATTGACAATTATTAAATATGAACATTGGTGAATTCAAACATTTGGACGATTAATGGAGTGCATTATCAATGATAACAGCCAACTAATAGAAAATACTTACCGAGTTAACCACTTTCTTACATATTAAGTCTCTTTAAATTCATCATGTCAAACGGCATTGTGCGAAATGCCGCAACGCCACCAATGGTAACACAATTTAAAATACTATAGGTATTAATAATAATAATAGTAATAATAAATAGACAACCCACATGAAAATATTTAAAAAATATTAAATAATATTATTTAGTAATATGTTTATATTATAAATGAATTATTATTATATTACCTGCAGATGATGTCGATAATGTATGTGTGTGTGTGTGAACAGCGAATGATTTAAGCCTGAATTACGCGAAACAACAACTGTGCTTGCACACCAACAACTAAGCATGCACAAAACTAGGTAGGTATATATTATTATTAATGGGAGGTATAGGTATATTGTTATTGTTGTATATAATGTATAATATATACTATACGCAGTAGGCACACACCACACGGCACACGACTGAATGCGTTTGCACATTGCAGCTAGTAGGCATAAAATATTTTTGGGATCGAAGCTCTAAATAATATTATATAAATAATATTATAATATCATGATATCAAATTACTACTACTACGTAACATGATGATAGGTAATGAAACACACATGGTCAAAAACTTATATATTATGATGTTAATTACTCTTCGTCCGATGTCCAAATTCGTAGGTATAGTGTAAATATATAATATAAGGGGGGCTGTGAATTTGCATGATTTGTTTTTTGTTGCTATTTTGTTGAGGAATTGAGTTCAATAAGACGGTGTGATACTAAATTATATTTTTCATACCATAGCATTGATTAAAAACTAAGTTTTTTTTTAAAAAGTTGTAATTTGTATTATTTGTACATTTTAAATTAATGTTTTTTTAAATATTATTCACTATTGTTGCTGAATGTAAATGAATATATATGTTATGTTCTATTGCTGTTTTTACATATTTTAGGACTTTTAGAGCCTACCTAATAGGCAAATTTGTAGTGTTTATATGGACATGCTTATATTTAAAATTTTTTTAATGCATTCAATTCACAGCCCTGCACCTATATAACACAACGTTTGGTAATATGTGTGCACATGATCACATGAATAAATTCAGCGATACAATATTAATATTAAATTTATATGCACACACAAACGTATACGTATACGTTTATATCCATGTATAAACATAATATGTATTAGTCTGAATTTGGAAATGAGTTAGATGAAAAAAAAATAAATGTACAAATAATAATATTATACGTATTTGTACAATGTACATACATATATTATTATATGATACAATACAAGTTATTTGGTAAACGTCACTGTGAGACTACAAACAAACGTCCGACAACGCGCCCGAAGGATTCGCACAACGATTGCCGGACCAAACTACGCTATAAATTATGTATATGCATTGGTATTAATATAGGTAATATAATATATTATATACTATTATGTTATGGGTGAAAATGAAAAAAAAAACACAACAAACTTTACTAGAAATAAAATTGTTAACGGTAATATAATAATAATAAAAAAATACGATGAGACGTATGGTTGGTTCGGTAGCCAGTTACTAGCTGTTAGTTGTTACAGTATATTACAATAATTATAATAATAATACAATATGCGTAATATTATATATACGGATTTACCTATAATGGTAAATAACGTACAGGAATAATTATACGTAAATATTGTTTGGATTTTTATAATATCACAATAATAATATGAATTTAACGACCGCAATGTAATGCGCGCCCGCAATGCACATAATTAATAATAATATGTAATATGAACGGGTAGGTAGCCGAACCAACGTGATCGCATCGCGTTTTGTACAACAATGTTAAATAAATAAGTATATCCATTCTCTAATATATTATAACTACTAAATTAAATTATTTAATCATAATGGATAATGATAGTAGCGAAATAATAATAGTAATAATAATAAAAATAATAATAATAATAATAATTATCATACAAGTATTGTAGAGAAACAAGAGGGGAAAAAACAATCAAAAGCCAACTCTTACAAATACTAATCAAAACGTTATAAAATACAGGCTTTTGATAAAAATATAATAATATTAATAATAACTAACAGATTAGATTAGATAGGTACACTTTTAAAAGACGATTAATGAACATATTTAGCATACAATTATTAAAAACAAAACTAAATATGTATATAAGCCTATAACAGTGCAAATAAAACAATATATGTATATATGTATATATGGATAATATATATTATATAATACATATATACATATAATTTTGATGCATATAATATTATTGTTAAATTTAAAAGTAAAAATGGTAACAAAGCAAGCAGGTACAAATCGGTGCGCAAAATGTTTACTATTTCTTTTTTCTCTTTTATAAATAAAAATTAGAATTAACTATGGAACAATTGCACATGATATAATTCTCGCTAATCGGATTGCGATGCGATAGAATAATATTATTATATCGAATCGACAAGATAAGTCATATGGTCAGATGCATTATACAATATTTATGTCATGGTGACATAAAAACGGTATTGTTTCGTTTTTGAACTACGGACTAGACATACATATATATATATATATATACACATATTGTGTGTGTATGTATCTATAAACGAAGGTATGTGTGTATGTAAGTGTGCCGGTGTGTGTGTGTGTGTGTTGTATAAAAAAATAATACTTGTAAATTGTAATGAAATAAATAAATAAACTGTGACGAAAAATTTGAATTAAATGTATTATGCAGTGCCATAGATAAAAATACTTGTAGCAAAATGTATGAACTTTCGACGTCAACTACATAAATGATTAAAAATGATAATTACATTATGATAAGTAGAATTAAGCGAAAGGAGAGGGTTTTTTTTATGGTCAAGCTGCTTTCTACAATCATGGATCGTTCTTGTTGCACGTTTATACAGGTGTGTGTATCTGTGTGTATGTGTGAGTGTGTGTGTGCATAAAAAACTGCCATTAAGGCGGCATTATGAAATCGGTATGCGTGTTATTAAAAAAAATTAACTTTTTTCCTTCTTATAAAAGTCCGAAATTTTAGATTA